AGAAAGTTAATTATATGGAAAATATAATAATATTTCTTTTGTTGGTCCTAAAATAAAAAAATGGGACCTATCCCTGTAGTTGCTGTTAGAGTAAGTGTCATAGAAACCAATCAATTATGGTAAGATTGATTATGCAATAAATATTTTTTTATCAATAAAAGACATATTTTTCTATATCATGTAAATCATTAGTTATATGTAATGATATATGTCCTTAGGATAGCAGAACTGTGACGAAAGTATCAAGTATTTTAAATCTTGGTAGTGAGAACCATATGATCACATATGATGGCTATTCTAGAAATGTACGTAGCCCTAGTATTATTGTGACCAAGGACACAGATAATACGGTAAGACTTTCATAGCGTTGAACGGCCCTGTCGAAAGGCAGTGACTAATCTCACTTGTCAAAGTTGTTTGCTGACAATCTAGTGCAACGCATGGGTGCTTGCTAGAGGCAAATTCACTGGATAGACCCACTAAAGGATTCCATATGGATGGTAACCACAGTGTCTATGGAATAAATCCTCTAACGACTGGTGGTACATGTGATCCTTAGACTTGAGATCACCGGAGTGCCTTGTGCATCAATTGGTGTAGTTTGACACTAGCCCAACGTAGTTCGATTCAAAGTTATCAATACAGTAGTGATTGGCTACATTAANTTAATGAGTTTGAAATTATTAATCTTCAATTTGTTGGGTGCGGAAGGTTAATAAGGAAGAATAGGAAGGCATAGCCCGAGAGGGTATGTCTACATGTTAGTGAGTTCGATTTACAACCATTGCATATGAATATGAGTTTAGTGTAATTATAGGCTTAACCCATAAAAATCTAAATGAAGTCAAAACCCTACCCGTTTTACTTGAATTGATATTGCTGGTTTCCATATTGCTTTCTTAATTAAGTTTACACCTTAGTAAATTTCATTTGGTTGTTTTTAAATTAAAATTTGCTCCCACCAATCCAAAGAATTCGATTGCATCAACTAGAAAACATTAGGAAACTCAGTGCTTTGCTTACAATCTTCGTGGGAACGATACTCTACTCATCAATATATTACTTGTGCGATTAGTATACTTGCTACATTTGCATGTTGTAGTTACAACGCATCAACACACTGTCGATATGATAAGGAGCCTACGAGTCACATACTTAGAAAATAATTTAAGAATCAATTTATAAGAAATGTATTTTCGTCTTTCAGGATGAAAGGGTATTTTGGTAATCTGACAGTATAATTAAATTTGCTGAGGTTGTTGCCTATATTTAATTTTAATATTACAATTAAATTAGTGAGATTATATTTAAATATATCTATGTATATATTTAAATGAATAATTATTATTAATTAAATGTTAATATATTATTATATATTAATTGATTTTAATTATAATAATAATTAATTAATTAAAATACCATAAAGGGTGTGTTTGGTTGCAAGGGTGAATTAGAGTTGGAGCCTATGTCTATTATTAAGTGGAATAGAGTTTTAATTGTTGCACTATATAAGTACAACTTAAAATTAAAACAATGAGAATTATTTAATAATCAAAAACCCTAGCCACCCTATCTCTCTCTCTCTCTCTCACACACACACATTAAACTCTTATGTGAAGAAGAAAAAATTTCTTGTTCTTCTTTCTTGATTCTTAAAGCCTTTGATTGTTCTAACAAAATAATCAAGGGTTCTGCGGATTATCTTCGTGTGGACTTCCGTGAGTGCGATCCTACATTATATTGATTAGCAAAGAATCACGTGAACAGTATCCAGTGAACAGTTTGGTAAATAGTGTCTAGTGAACAGTGTTCGTGTCCGAAGTCAGAGATATTCGGAGGAGCCTCCAAACGTTGGTATGAACTAAATCCTTGTATGGATTTGTTTTTAATACATTTTTATTTTACGTTTCAGTTTATGTATAAAAATGTTATAATTTGTACTCGGATCTTAATTCATGTAATTGATCGATTCGTTTTAAATATTACGTTTTTTCGCTACGCGAATCCGATCAATTACTAACAGTTGCATACTTGCATTGTGATTGTCAGATTGAGGCTTGTCTTGGTGAATTGTATAAAACAATACATACATTAAATATGAATAATGCTTATCTTTAAAGACATACAAATAATACGAACATTAAATTTTTGCAATTTACATGAAATAAATTATGAAAATAAATAAAATAAAGTGAATAATTTGAAAAAGGGAAGGGCGGGGGCCTACCATGATGGGTTTAGGTTTTATGACTTTATCTTCTTCAATTTCATGAACCAATCTACATACAAGTTGACCATGAACTCGGTTGAAACGACTATTTATACATAAATTAATCAAATAATAAATATGGGAATGTGTTGGATGGAGTGAAATGCACAATTATTTAATGAAATGCATGTGCCATCGCATCTAGGTAATATATTTTTGCATAAAGTATGATTTGATATTTTCCAAACCAACAAATTATATCACGGAACCCATTTGTTCAATTTTCCTGTGGTAGTAATGTTACATCACTTTGAAGAATATTCATCCATCTATAGGTTTAGAGAGAGTGGAAATCTCAACATTAATTAAAATGTGTCTCTATAATTCATCATACTTTTTAGCCCATGTCACGAATTAATAGTAACTCTTTCTTTCTTTCTCTAAATAATTGAAGGGATGGAAAAGATATTTTTTTTATTTATCGCAACAAATGAAAAGGGTGTTATTTTGAGAGACGAGTGATTGAATTAGATTTGAAATGAAAGCGTTAAGTCACAATCGAAGGGATAGTAAAAAATAATTTTCTAATTTATTTATCAAAGGCAGTATGTTAATAACAAATTCTATATTTGTGTCAACGTCTAAAATTGCTAACATTTCTCCATTCTTTAGCTTTACCTTGGGTGGGAACATGTTTTCTGCTCATATGTAAAAGTAAAACCATGGGTCCACAAGTAATGGCAACTTTGGTTATCGTAACCGCGTTTAAATTTAGAAGATAAATCGTTTAGACTTTAACTTTCCTTGTGGACTTCCATTTTATGCGCATCTTGTGTTTTGGGGCCAAACATTTCTCCATTCTCCTCAAACTTGTAACCAACTGTTTTTAATTGACCTTCAATCCAATTTGGTACTGAAATTAAAAGTTGTTTAACCAAAAATTTGCATTCCAAATAATTATAATTAGAAAAGAAAATCAATTTATTTTTTTTTTTGTTTAAATAAAAAATGCATAAAAGCATTTATGGGCCTAAGCAATTTTCTCAAGTCTCAGTTGTCTAGAGTTATGGTGGAGGAACTGGATCATAAATCTTGTCAATAGCAATACGTCCAGGTTAAATTTAGTCCAATGTATATTTTGAAAAGTCTTCCGAAGACTATTCAATTGGAGGATTTTCTAACCTCCAAGACACGTTTAATAAAATATTAATTAAACCACTGTAACCTGAAGTATTAACTGGGCTAAAACGAAGGCATTGTTACATGCTAGTCTATATAAGAACGTGTTTCTCAATAAATGTTCAACCAAGCAATAGACTAGCCCACCACACTACAATGGCTCATCAATATCTGAACACTATAGCCCTACTCTGCCTCATGCTAGCTGCCTTCATCAGCGGCTCTAATGCCGGTGTGATCTCCGTGTACTGGGGTCAGAATGGAAATGAAGGAAGCTTAGCAGATGCTTGTGCCACTGGCAATTATGGAATTGTGAACATAGCTTTCTTATCCACCTTTGGTAATGGCCAGACCCCGTCACTCAATCTCGCTGGCCACTGTGATCCTGCCTCTAATGGTTGCACTGGTTTGAGCTCCGACATTAAAGCTTGCCAGAACCAAGGAATTAAGGTCATGCTCTCTATTGGAGGTGCTTCGGGAAGCTATTTCCTTTCCTCAGCTGATGATGCCAGGCATGCTCTATTATTATTATTATTTTCATTGGGTAGCTCCTTATTGACAAATGAGAAATTAATTAATATTATTTAATGCCGTGCAGGCAAGTTGCGAATTACTTGTGGGACAATTTTCTTGGTGGTCAATCAAGCTCACGTCCATTAGGTGACGCAGTTTTAGATGGTATTGATTTTGATATTGAGGGAGGCACTACACAGAACTGGGACGAACTGGCAAAGACCTTATCAGGATTTAACCAGAAAGTGTATTTATCAGCAGCTCCTCAATGTCCGTACCCTGATGCATGGGTGGGTGGTGCATTAAGTACTGGCCTATTTGATTACATTTGGGTCCAATTCTATAACAACAATCCTTGTGAATATTCTGGTAACGGAGACAGCCTTAAGAGCAGTTGGAATCAGTGGACATCAAATCAACCTTCAAGCCAAGTATTTTTGGGACTGCCTGCGTCTCCTGAAGCAGCTGGGAGTGGCTATATTGCTCCTGATGTGCTTAACTCTCAGATTTTACCGTCTATTAAGACTTCTTCAAACTATGGAGGTGTCATGCTTTGGTCAAGGTATCATGACAAAGACTATAGCTCCGCTATTAAGCCAAACGTTTGATTAAACTACTGCTTTTTCTTCTTCCACTTAATTTCAGCTTAAACAAAAAGGTTCTACCTTAGAACAATGATGATGTAATAATACTAAGGACTCCGAATTTTCAATAAAATTATACCACGCAAAGGATTCTATTATAAATAGTTAAAAAGATCAATTATCTATCAATCTCAGTATTATAATGTGTTATCAACTTCTCTACAAATTAAGAATTCCAAGAACATAAAAAGATGTTATCATCTACATAATACTCTGCTCCCGTTATTCTTGCACGCAATATCAAATTAAGATTTCAACTTCGTAAATTTATTACAAATGAGAATATTTTATGCATAGTTAGATCATAAAGAATAAAAACACAGAGAAGAGGATGTGGTAACGTAAACCAGTGCCAGGAATCCAAAAACACAGGTAATTACCTTGTGTTCTTCCTTCGTGCATGTAGAAGTCAAGAAACGGGCACCCTTTTGTTTTCCGATTGGTGGAATTATGAGATGCATTTATTTAGCCACAATTATTTATTTCCTTGGTCCCAACATAACAACTTGCAGCCTAACGGATTCAGAATTAGAAACATCTTTCTGACCTTGATTCAAAATGCGTATAAATCAAACGCCGGAGTCATTGTGGTATACTGGGGCCAAAACGGGAATGAGACCACACTCACATCAACATGTGCCACAGGAAATTACGAAATCGTTAACATAGCTTTCCTTTCACAATTTGGCAATGGCCAAAAGCCGCAAATCAACTTAGCTGGTCACTGTAACCCAGCATCAAATGGTTGCCAAAGCGTGAGTACAGACATTAGATATTGCAAAAGCCGAGGAATTAAGGTGCTGCTTTCAATTGGAGGTGGTGCCGGCAGCTACTCCTTGTCATCAGATGATGATGATGCTAGGAGTGTCGCAGCTTATTTATGGAACAACTTTTTAGGGGGAAAATCGAATTCGAGACCACTTGGTGATGCCGTATTGGATGGTATAGATTTTGACATTGAGATGGGTAATGGTGCTCACTATCCTACGCTTGCCATGGCTTTGTCGGAACACAGTCAAGGAGGAAAGAAAATATACTTGGGTGCAGCTCCACAGTGTCCATTCCCTGACCAATATCTCAATGCAGCACTTACTACGGGACTGTTTGACTATGTCTGGGTCCAGTTTTACAATAATCCTCCTTGTGAGTTTAGCTCTAGCAGTCCAAACAACTTTCAGAACTCTTGGAACAAATGGACGTCGTCAATTAAAGCTGGTAAATTCTTTGTTGGGCTTCCAGCTTCGCCTTCTAGTGGAGATGCTAGCAATGGTTATGTTTCACCCAATGACCTCATATCGCAAGTTAAAAAATAAAAAAGAAAGAGAGAAAAAAGTACCTGTTGAGGGAGAGTAGTAGGAGGGTGGTGAACCAGATGAGTTGGAAGATCAAAACCCTTGTGTCTGTTTTTAAAACTTGGCTTTGGCATTTGAGGAAGTGAGAGGCGGTGGGGCTGAATCTCCCAGAGACTGGCACAAAGTTTTCTTGCAAAAACTGCTGATGTAGGATGATTAATAACAAATTCTTGAGTGTAGACGTAAAAATCTATCTGTACGGAAGAGGGGTCTGATCCCATGAGGTTGAGGTCACCAGCGATCCGTTGTACCTGCACACGTAGAGAAACACACGCGTAAAGCGAACAGGAAACACCGGGGTGGTGTTTGCCGTAGGAACTCCGACGCTCAAGTCAGCAAAGCTGAGAGAGGCTAATATAGTGAGGGTTAGGGAGTACAGGTTACCAAAAGTCTAGTCGGGGACTATGACTACGGCGGTGATGTGGAGCTCTCAAGTCAGAGCTTTCAGTGGGAAGGTGTAATGTCATCTCCCCTGTGAGAGGGCTGGCCTCTGCTTATATAGTGACTGTCTGGTCTCCCAATCCTGGTAGAAGTAGAAGTCCTAGCATGACTCTGATGCAAACCCTAGCAGAATTAGGGTCGTGGTAAACTCTTACTAGTGTCCGGATAGGAAAGTGATTCTGATCAGGAAAGTGACTCTGAGTAGGAAAGTGATCAGGAATAGGAAGGTGGCCTTGAATGGGAGATTGATCAGGAGTAGGAAAGTATTCTAAGGGGGTCGTGGGCTCTGGATTCGCCCATGGACCTAGGAAATGGACTGGGATTAGGAGGCTCGTTCCCACGTGGTTTAGGCCGGCTATATCTTGTACCGAATGGGCCTAATCCGGTTTGGTCACATCAGAATTGGGTCTGGCTCTTTCTTCAGTGTCGGGCCCGTTTTCCTATTTGGGCCAAGGACAATTTTTGGCCCTAACAGTTTGCCCCCACTCTCTGAGTTAAGAGTTTCTTAAGTCAGAGAGTAGGAAGTGATCAATGGGTGCTCGGTCGTCCTTCCGGGATGATCGGTTGTTGGTGTAGCTGATCCTGCAGATGATTTTGTCCTGGGGTCGTTCGGTATCCATTGCCGATCCGGAGTATACCATCATTGGAGTGTTGTGCCCGATCGGTATGAGGGGTCGAGGGAACGGACAAAGAGACTTTGGGTTGGCTCATAAGCTCGTTCGGTACGTCGTGTCGAATGGAGAGGTGAGGTGCTTCTACTGCCGAGGCGTTCGCTCGACGGTCTAGGTCGAATAAACATGAGAGTTAAACCAGATGCTTGTTCGGGCGATTGAGTAAAAGGAATATGCGAGCTTTAACGGTTGGCTGTCGGTTCGTCCGCTCTGGAAGGATGAATGGGTCGTGCCCACATCTTTTTACCTCACGAGAGGTCAGGCCGGGCCATTCCTAAGCTGTTCGGCCAGTCGGGATGCTTGCCTGGACTCGAGGATCGTGGGCTCCTGTTAGGTCCTAATCTGACGGTCGGGGGTTGGCTCGGTCGGGGAGGTAGGGCGATCGGAATTGATCGTGCAGATTCCTAGGTACCGTGGATGCTTGCCACGTGTTCGGTAGATATCAAATCTTGGTTTTTGAGGCGGGAAAACGAAAAGGCGCTCTGACTCCTGGCCAATCGTGGGCTGCCATGCGTTTTAACCTGTCAATTTTCCTTTTAAAAATGAGTGAACAGATCGTTCATCTCCCATTTGCAGTTTTCCTCCGTTTTTCTTCAGCAAAAATTTTTTTCTTCTTCGTTTTCAGTTTCATTTTCGCGTCGGCAGCTTCTCTCAGTAGACTCCGATTTTTTCACGGTAAACACTCTTCTTTTATGGCGTCTTTTTGTTTCTTCTTTGCATTTGTTTTGGAAGCATAGGGTGATGTTTTTTGAGTTTTGGATATTTTTGACTTGTTCTGAGGAGTTTGGAGTACCGATTTTTAGGATAGGCGTGAATTTTGATGTTCCTGGTGGTTTTCCGGCAAGCTGGCTGGTTTGTTTTTTGTTTTTTGTGTTTTTCTGGATATTTTGGATGGAATTTGGGAAGGCGAAGTCGAGTTAAGTGTGCGTTCGTTCGGTCGGTCTGCCTGACCGAACAGGGTGCCATCTTGGAGTCGTTGAGTTAGGTCGTCCGGTCCATCCAACCGAGTGGTGGGGTGTGTGGAGTGGATTAAAGGGTCGGTCGGTCGGTCATCCAGACCGAGCGGGTGATTGTGTTGCTAGACCGGCGAGAAAGGGCTAGTAGTGTTTAAGCTGACCTTGAGGACCAGCCGGTCGCCCGGGGCGAGCGAGGGGATACTTTGATAAGGGATTCGCTGGGTCGGTCACCTGGGGCGAGCCAAGGAAGGCGAGAATCAAGAGCTGGGTCGGTCGACCAGGAGGGTCGACCAAGGTTTAGGTTACACTTCTCCGGGTAGGTAGACTGGTACTGAGGGGCGAGTGGCAACTCTTTCTGATCTTGGTAGGTCGGTGTCTCGGGTCGGGTGGTTGACACTTAGGATTTTTGGCAGCCAGGAGCGAGGCTTGGATCGGTCTGTTGGGTTGGGCGATCGAGCCAACATGTCGGACTCTGAATCGGCTAGTTCGAGCGGGATTGTGGCAGACTCAGGGGATGAGTATGAGTGTGTCCCGACTATAGTGATGTTGCCCGAGAGGGGCATTCCTGTGGGCGTGCCGAGTGGAGTTAGTATAGCCGCTCCAAGGTCGAGTGAGGCTGGGCCGAGTGGCTCGGGCAGGCATGGAAGGAGTGGGGAAGACTCCGAAGGGGTTGATAGTCCATCTTCTTCCGGAAGTGGCTCTAAGGAAGAGCCAAGCCAACAGGGCAGCGGGATTTTGACTAGAGATTATCCGCCCGTGCTGAAAGATAGTGACGTGTGGCGCATCCGGACCTTGTATCACATTTCGAGTTCTGTTGATATCTGGATGCCGCGGTCGTACGAGCGAGTTGATTGGGAGGCAAAGGACTGGATCAGTGTTTACGAGAAATGGTTTCATGACGGGTTGAGGTTGTCTGTGCCTCGCCTCGTCTCGTGTGGGAGGTGCTGAACCACTTCATGATTGTCTCGTCTCAACTTATGCCGAATGCTTGGAGACTGCTAATGGCTTTGGAAAACCTTTGTGTTCGGAACCAAGTGAGGTTTGGGTTGCACGAGCTGCTGTATTTCTACTTCTTGAAGGAGAACGATAAAGAGAAGGGTCGTTACTTGTTAAACTTAAGGCATGATCGGTCTCACTTGGTGACCGACCTACGGTCCAGTGATAAGAACTGGAAGGACCGATATTTCTACCTGAGGGGTCAAGCTGTATTTGGAGAGAGAGGACAGGGCGAGATCCCGATCGGCTGGCGAGCTACTGGTGAGAGCTTAGTTGTTTCTTTCGTACTTTTGATTATTAAATCTTGATTGTGTTTTTTGTTTGCAGAGCTTGAGTTCAATCGGGTTGGACAGAGCGGAGACGGCTTGGATGTAGCGACCCAGAGGGTGTTAGCCATCCCATTAGAGCAGATGGATTGGCGAGTAGTGCTAGCCGAGTCCAACCTAAGGACCAACATTCTTTGGGCCGGAGTAGAGGCGATACAGAGAGGTACTCCCTTCCCCTCGCTGAAGCAGACTTGGGATGTACTTCTGAGTCGATACTGCAACCATATAATTTTTGGTGAGTCCGAGCTGAACCTACTAACCTTTGGAGAGTTTGCACTTGCAGAGTCGCTGATGAAGAAGTTGACTGTCCCGAGCGCGAGCGAATCTATCACCCGACGCTGCAAGAAGAGGAGGAGGGAGTCTTTAGCCAGGGAAGACAGAGGAGCAGATGTGCTAGCGACGCCACCGAGTCAGCAGCCATTCAGTTGGAGCCGGGTCGTCCTAGACCACGGTTGTGGATGAAGAGGCCGGAACGATTACCATCACGATTTCGGCTAATGCGTCGACTTACTCTGATGCCACTACCATGAGTAAGTTGGCCGACTCATTTTTGTTCCCGGCAGACAAGGCGCAGCTTAACCAGATGGGTGCAGTTGCTGCGGCTGATTGGGGGGGTAGCTCGCGCCGTTCAGGTATTCGGTAGAGTTTGGTGATTTCTGTTTCTAAGCCTTGTTCTGATTGCAATGTTTTGTTGTGCAGGTACTCACTAGCAGTCTTCACTTGAGGAAGTCTGTTGTGGCGCAGGAGAGACGTATACAGGTGTGTAAGGCCAACACCAGCCTGCGCCAGAAGGAGATGGCGGCCCGGAAGGCCGAGCAAGAGTTTCAGCATCGTCTGAGGGATAGAGAGCATGAGATCGAGAGTCTGAGGCGTGAGTTGGCCGAGAGAACCACAGAAGTCGAGTCTCTCAGGGAGCAGTGCATCTCCATTGTTGATGATGCTATCATTAAGGCCCGAGGTGAGCTCATACTGGAGTTCAAAGAAGGGTGGACCTCTTATTGGGATCCGAATGAAGACATCTTGCTCATGCAGTAGTTACTAGACGAAGGAGGTAGTCATCCGGGAGGGCAAGACGATGAGCAGATGCCTGACCTCAGCCAGCCGAGGCTATCGGGTGTTGACGATGCGGGCGGTCAGGGTTGGGCCGAGTGCTGGTAGTGTGGCCTGCGATGCCCTTTTGTCTGGCGTGTGTGCCATTTTTTTGTATTCTCAACTGGGCCGTTTGATGCTATATATGTAACATTTGACCATTTTTTACTTCTGATGCTGTCTCCTTGGATGAATGAACTGTTGTTTCTTTACTTGTAGGTGCACTACGTTGTGTATTTTACTTTAGAGTGGCCCCGTGGCGAGGGCATGTAGGTCTTCTGTTAGGCCGGGTCAGTGCTTTGCTTGTCACTGGTGTGAAGACCATTCGTTCGGTCTGGTCGACCGAGTGTTCATTCCCGTGGATGAACGAAGTCAAACTGGAGTTGATTTCTTGGGTCGGATCAGGCCGACTGGGTGGTGTGAATCATAAGTCGTGCTGATTTTCGAGTGGCGCCAATACAAAGGTGAAACTCGCGAATCGG